AAAATCTGTCCCAAGATCTTAGATTTTACCTTGGAGACATAATAAGATTGATAATAATATATTGTAGATATCATTTTGTATTTGAATAAATGTAAATCTGTGTTAATTTGTGCTTGATCATTTTTCTTTTCATGTCAATTTTCGACTAATGTCTTTACAAATATTAATCAAGACAGTTAACTTGACGGCTATGTTTAAGATAAAAGTTCTATAACCGGTATCAATCTATGAATCACTATTCCTTAAATTTTTCTAAAAATCATTGTATGAAATTGAAAACACTATAACAAAAATAAACTATCTACAGTAAGTGCCATAAGTGGACCCAATTAAAAAAACGAGGAAGACAAAAGAGTTATTTTATTATATTTTATTTATAAAATCTACATAATATGTACATTATCTCAATAATTTATATAGTCACCATTTCTTTCAATTGACAATTATATTCTATGTTCCATAGAGTTGACTAATTTTGCAGCAAAATCAACAGGTAAATTTTTCCACTCTTTTCTTATTCTTGCCATAAAATTCTTCATTGATGTAAGTGGTTGTTTGTTGATTTTAAGCTTCATTAATGCCAAAACATTCTCGATCGGATTACAGTCTGGTGATTGCGATGGCCACGGTAATGATTGTACACCATTGTCGACCTTAAATCTTTTACATATTTTTGAAGTATGTTTTGGATCATTATCTTCTAATAAACTCCAGTTAGTATTATTATCACCAAACCACTTTTTTTGTTGATGGCAGAAGTCCGTACTTGTAAATTTTGCACATCAGCTTTGGGTTCAATGTTCGTGTAAATAAAAATAATTTACCAAATCCTTTGTTACTGAAACAGCCCCAAGCGTGAATTTTGATAGGATGTTTGATTGTTGATACATAATAATTTTCACCACGCTTTTTCCATACACGTCTTATCGCTTGTTTCATATGAAATGAAGTCTCATCTGTAAAAACGACTTGATTCCAGTTAACATCTTTATGTTCAATAGCCCATTTGAGTCTTTTTTGAATATGATCACTTGTTAACAATGGCTTGGAAGTTGGCTTCATTGATTGTACACCAGCTTCTTTAAATCTTCTTCTTAATGTTGTTAGGCTAACTTTTATACCTTTCTTTGATAATCTAAATGCAATTTGATCTAGAGATTCAGTTGGATGTTGAGCTACCATTGATTGAATTGCTGTATCTTGTTTTTCTGTGGTACACCGTTTACGACCAGATTTTTGTATAACTTCCACCTCACCAGTTGTTTCATATCTTTCAAGCCAATACCTTACAGTCGGCTCATGGACATGTAAATATCGTGAAATATCAGCATTTTGACATATGTGGGCCATACCGATGTTGTAATAAAAATACGATTTCCCATATTTTCTTTATAGAAATGTCCATTCTTTAATTGAGTTATAAATTGATAAGAGAAGCAATAGAAATGTTCCTATTTATATGCGATGATGACTATGAATAGTCCGCCCAAACAAAGTAAAAAGATAAAAGAAAGGTCATTGTTCAATATCAAAAAGAGCGCGGGTCCACTTATGGCACTTACTGTAAGTGTGTTAGCTTTACATTTAACGACGTAACTTTTTTTCTGTCGAATATGTATGCCTTTTGTTCTATTCATTCATCATTACATATGGAATTAGATTAAAGTTCGACTTATAATGCATCATATTTGAAAAATAATTGTCATGTCCAAAGTAACAGAAAACGAAAGTTCAGATGATGATGCATTGTATTCAATCAATTCAGATTTAAGTGATATTGATAGTGACGATATTGAAGAAGATAATATAAGTGGTGAATTAAAATTATCAAACAATTTTGAATCTAAAATACCACAAAATTCACCACCAATCGCCTTTTTTTTATTATACTACACACCAGAATTAGTTTCTGACATAGTTGATCAATTAAATCTTTTCAGAATTCAAACCAAAAAACACAACAAGCACCTATGACTGAAACTGAACTCAATTGTTTAATTGGATTTCTTTTTTATTCATCAGTGATCTCTTTACCTAACAAGTGTGACTATTGGGCATCATTTTCTCGACAACCAATAGTCGCGGATGTCATAGATCGTAATCGAATAATGTACTTGTTATCAATACTTCATTGTCATGATAATGCAGTTGAGAAATATAAAATTGAGAAAGTTGAACTAATATTAAAATATTTTAATGAAAGATGTAAACTTATTGTTGAACCAGAAAAACATCTCCATTGATGAACAGATAATAGCTTCAGGCGCATATAAGTAATACGTCATAAAATTTTTGTCCATTTTAGGTCCCCTCACCGCGTCATATGAATGACAGAATCCTTGAATCGCCCCTTATAAAGGAACAGCAGCACTCACATCTTTTCGGCAATTCATGCCAAAGAAACCTACAAAGAGAGGATTTAAAGTTTGGACAAGATGTGAAGTTTCAGTTTTTGTCTACGAAATGATATTATATCATGGTACATCAAAAGTTATATCTAATAGATTATATTTATCTGATCTATCATTAAAACGTACTTCATCTCGATCAACAACGACAACAGCCTCGAATTATACAAAATTAGTTGATACACAGCGTGAAAAACTTCTTAAACAGTTTGGTTCTTCAGGGTTAGTTGTATTGGATTTAGTTACATATGTTCCTGTTGGTTCTGCAATATCCATCGATAACTATTTTGCATCAACTAAATTAATAAAAAAATTAACTCAACTTCGTTATAGAGTTACCAGTACGTTACGATCGAATCGAACAGAAAAATGTCCGATATCAACAGAAAAAGAATTTGCAGAGAAGAAGAGAGGTTATTTTGAACATTTTATATCAGATGATCAAGCATGCATTGTAGTCTCTTGAAAAGATTCAAAAAGGGTATTATTAGGTTCTAATCATACGGGTATAAAACCAACTACAACATTACAATGTTGGAATAAAGAAAAACAACTTAAAGTTGATACTATAGCACCTCAAATTATCAATCAATATAATAAATTCATGTGAGGGGTCAACACCATGGACATGTTGTTAGTCTTACACTCTATCCCATTCAAATTCAAACGGTGGTATTCCACAATCATATGGAGAATCTTGGATACGATGGTTATTAACTCGTGGATTATAATGAATTCTCGTCTTAGTGGTGATAATAGTTACAATTCAACAAGTCATGGATCATTTAGACTATTTCATTTCAAATCTGAAATAGTAAAATTTCTATTAAGAAAACCAAAGATCCAATTATTACCAACAGCTACTGTTAATTCAGCACTAGATGTTCATCAAAATGATGACGCAAATGAACCGTAAAAGAAAAAGTTATGCGATGCCAGGTCCAGTGTAATAGATGTTATACGATATGATAATACTAATCATTAGCCTGCATTTATTTCTGCTCTAAATAATACTCGATGTAAGAACGAAAATTGTTCAGAAAAAACATATTGGCAATGCTTCAGACGTAATGTACACCTATCTCTCAATTCAAGTAAAAATTGTTTCACTCAATATCACACTCGGAAATAAATTAATTTACTATAGACATGAATGTTCCTTATTGAAAATATGTATTTTGATTTTTTTTTTGTTAAAAAGTTATTGAAAACATTAATTTCTATTTATTTATTGTGATTACAGCAAAATAAATAAAGTTATTCACTTGAAAACAAATTCCTTGTATGCATTCAGAAAAGTGAAAAATTTGGACCGGTAAGACTCAATGCTCCTTCCAAGGGGCATTTTATATCTTCATAAGAAAAAAAATTTTGTTTTGTTTTACTATAAATAATTCTTATTGGGGTCTGAGAGCTTCTATTTTAGTGGTTAGTTTTTTCAATTTATGACTATCAGACCTTTGGGTTTTTAAGGGTTAAAAAGAAAACAATTATTAATTATGGTGCTGTGATGAAAGGTAATTGATGATAATGAATATCATTTTAAATATTATGAAATTTAACTTATGATATATTGCAAATGAAATGTCAGAAAAAGCATTAGACTTATTTGAACAGATACAAATAAATTTAGACAATGTGACTAATAGTATTGTTTTTAATGCATGTGCTCAACTTGCTAATGATCGAGCGAAAAGTATTGGAAAAAAACTTCTTGATGAAATGCCTAATAATTATCGAAACGAAAATATTGTGTTAACATCGGCAATAGATATCTTAATGAAATTTGGTGATGTTGAAAGTGCTGGACAAGTTTTTCAATCAATTGAAAAGCAACATATTATTGCTTATGATGCTCAAGTAAATGGTTATAATTTAAATGATGATTCATCAAAATGTTTTAAGATTCTAAAATAGGGGTGTCGGCTTAGTATTAGTATTAGGAAAATGCTAACGCTTTTGTATTAGAATTAAAAAAATAATTTTAATACTTTGCATTAGAATTAAAAAATTAATTCAATGCTTTAGCATTAGTCTTAAATTAGTATTAGGATAATGCTAATACTTATCATAATT